GCCCTGTGGAAAATCCCTAAGTTATTTCCAGGTCAAAAAGACTTCACTTAGAATTTGATTTGGGGAAGTTTGCCAAAAAATTCAAAAAGTTTTGGACACTTGGCTAAAAAGGATCACAGATCATTATGAAACAATACTTAATTATCCAAAGTGACAATAAAAGATTTCAAGAGCAAACGCAATATGTTACATACTTCTGAGCCAAACTTTGCTCTTTTAATATTGAGAAGACTCAGTTTACTTAAGTAATCAAAGACCTGATAATAAAGATATAAAACACAAAAAGTTATTTTGATAAAACACAAAATTTTTGCTTTCCAGGCAGGTTATTTTAAAGATAAAGAAAAAACTTTGTTTAAATTTCTTATTAAGCATAGATCTCATTTATTAGTAAATCTAATAAAACTTTGTCCTTTTAACAGAAGAAAGAAAATTAAGTTTTAGTTTTACATAAGTTTACTACTGGTATTAAAGCTTATTTTAAAACCCTTATAATAACAATTTAATTTTTAGCTAACTTGACCACACAAGATTTCCTCTTTTTTCCTCTCTTTTTCTGTTTCTCTCTTTCATTCTTCTTAACTTCCTATGTCCATAGTTTGTCCTTTTTTTTCCTTCTCATTTTGAAATAACTAGTTTTACTTTAGAGCAAAATCACTTTTATTTCCCTCAACAAAATGTATCTCCATACTTCATACCCTTTTAACCAAAATAAAAAAACCCATTTCAAAACAAAAAACGTATCCAATTTTCCTTGCATACAGTTATTTCTTATTATTTTTAATTGCATATATTAGAATTTTAACCCTTAGAAACCTTAATTTATAGTGAAAACTTAGTAAGCAGTTGTGAACTATTACACTAGCATTCTTTAGATTAGCAAATTTGTGAATACATTTCATAATTTTTAGAAATACGTGCTTCTTCATAATAAAATTTTTAATGTGGCACAAACCATGTATACTAATAGAGCCAAATATCTTTAGTTCCTCTGCAAAAGGAAACCAAAAGTAGGTAAAAATCTACATTCAGTAATTAATGTTTTAGTATTTTATATTATTTAGAAGTGATCTAGATATTCAATGAACTTCTATCATTTAATTTAGCAAAATGCTAAGGGTGTAAGTTATTAAAGAGATTTGGGAGACTAAGTACACATACCATAAAATATAATTCTTGCAGAAAGAAGTTTACCTAAAAATTCTTATCACACTTACATCTGTCTAAATCACTTGCTCCCAACTATTACGTTTAGATTACCCATGAAAACTTCATGAGACATTAGACAAAGCCAGCCATCACTGCAAGCTTTTTTTTTTTTAAATTTTTTGCTGACAAACTTTGTAACAGAGATAACATGGACTTATTTGACTAATAAACCCATGTAGAATAAAATTTGTGTGCCTGTATTATATTCAGTGTAATTCTAAACACATTCTATTTTAATCAAACCAGCAACTTTAAATTAACTTTGATATAAAATATTTTCCCAGAATATATAAAACTGAAAACCATTTGGATTAGCCTCTATTATATTTTTGAGACTTTCTATGAAGACTAAATTTATATATATGCTTGTTTGTTTAAGCCAGCTAAATAAAACTCTTGTAAATGAGCTTTAGCAATACCATACCTCTGCAACACACGTATATGTAGACACACACGAGCATACAGATGGATGCAGAGACCTTATCACATCTGTTTTACTAATTATTAAAAGAGTTGAATTTAAGTTGTTTTTTTTGGTTCTAAATTTCAAATGACCTTTCCCCTATTTGTTTTTCTTCTGATAAAACTTACCTCCCTGAAGTTTGTACTTTAACATTTACATCTCAGGGGCACAGGGAAAGAATGAAAGTTATAAGCCTGTTAAGATAAAATAGGGGCCATTTGGAGATTGGTAAAAGGAATAGGTGAACTTTGAATCACCTCTAGAGCTGCATATCTAGTTTTGCAAAGATTTGTAAGATGAAAAGAATTGCTCTTGATTCCTCAAGGAATTGGGTTGAAACCTAAATGACATCATAAACAGCTTGTCAGTTTTCAACCTGTTTAAATGGTAAATGTTTCTGGCAGTATTAAAGAACTCCATGGACCCAAGAGGTATCCTCAAAGAGGGTGCAAAGGTTACTACCTTTCTAGGATCCAGAGTTACTCCCAAAGATAGCGAAAGGGAAAAACTGACAGCCTGCTTGCCCTAGGTAGGGAGAAAGCCAAGCTAAGCTCTTATTTTATTAATAAAAGGTAACTAATAAATAGTTTCTTCAGAGTGGAGAGGCAATTCAGACAGAAGATTACCAGAATGAATATGCAAATAAAGGAGGATGGAGGGGAGCAGTAGGAATTATGTCAGTCCTATAGCCTTTTTTGGGTACCTTTTATATCTCTAATTTTTTATTAGCCTTTTGCAATGAAATTTTCAATGACACTATTTTGGAATTTTTAAGTCTTTTGGAGGCTTCTGCATGCCAATTAAAATAGGTGTTCCTTGATTTTAAGTGCAATTCTTTGTTTTTGTTTTGCGGTACGCGGGCCTCATCACTCTTGTGGCCTCTTCCGTTGCGGAGCACAGGTTCCGGACGCGCAGGCTCAGCGGCCATGGCTCACGGGCCCAGCCGCTCCGCGGCATGTAGGATCTTCACGGGCCGGGGTACGAATCCGCGTCCCCTGCATCGGCAGGCGGACTCTCAACCACTGCGCCACCAGGGAAGCCCTAAGTGCAATTCTTAAATGCTTTTATCTAATTGGAACGTTTGCTAGGACCTTAGCAGCAAATGGAGTTCAACTTCCATTACTTTCTGTTCAGCCATATTTGGGACTTCAGTCTGATGGTTACCAAGCCAAGTTCTTATGCACAAAATTCTAGGTTGTCTTTAGTAAAATTTTGGCCATTTCTTTGTAGGTATTTATAGCTCCTGAGACATAGTTTTTAGACATAAAATAAGCAAGTATGCTGGAAGGTGGCGCACTTAACTCTTTAGAGTTTATGGATCCCATTAGCTATGCTGAACTAATACCTAAAAGGGCTGTGCCACTGACTTGGGGATTGTGCATTGTTTTACCATGTATTGTACCTTGTCGCACAGAAATTTTCTTTAGGTTGGCAGGTGGTCTGTATCAATCTAACCTGTTCTACGACCAACTTATCCTAATACAGGAGTCTTTGAGTTAGGTGGTGAGCACTCTAACAGCCCTTAAATGCTCCATCTGTACCCACCGAATTTTGCAGCTTTTTTTTTTTTTTTGGCTTCTGAGATCTCTGCTAGCAATAGCCCTTATCTACACAAAATAAGACAAACAAACATGTACACCTTAACACACCAGAGGTAACCAAGAGATGTTACTGCAGACTGACCAAGAGAAGGTTGTGCACACCAGCAGCAATTCCCAGCATGGATTAAGTCAACAGACTCCAGTAAATGGGGACTGTGGACTGGAACTAGGGAAAGGGATTCTATACAACCGAGGGGAACTTCAGACAGAACCAAGGCCTAGGGACTCAGATTCTGCATGGAACCATCTGCCAGCTCAAGTTGACCCACTGAGCCCTGGACTGGAAAGCCAATTGGATCAGGAGCTAAACACAAAGAGAGTGGAGCTCAGAGGGATTTACCCCCAGCTCTTGGAAATGGCAAGAAGGACAGTGAACTTACAGTTTTTGAGGGGTACCACACCTGTGTTTCTCATTGTCCTCAAAGCTGTTGTAAGTCTCCTTCAATCCCACCACTGCCACCAAATTTGTTAACAAAAATTCAACTGAGGAAATTTAAGGATCCAATTGGCTTTAGTAAACAATTAATGGATTGGGCATTAGCAATCTAGCAAATAGAAAGAACCTTCACCAAGCTGTAGAAAAGGAGAGGTTATTAAAGGCAGAAAGGAGGCGGAAAAAGGAAATTATTAGCAAAGAATGCATTGTTTCAGGCAAGGTTGCCCTCCTAAAGGGAACAAAAGGGCCTATTGGGCAGATTACCTCACTAGTTCTGATGAGGTAATTCCAGGTTGATTGGTTAAAGGTTGCATTTCTGGGCAGGGGTTGAGACTGTAATTAGGTTAGGTATTAAGTTTTGGTTTGTTGACATGGGGTTTAGCACAAGTGACCCCATTTTGGGCCTCCTGTTTCTTTTTAACAATGCAATATTTAGATTTTGGTTTCTAGGAGTTCATGGATCCCACGAAACCCTTTCTTCCCCCTTTAGAAGCCCTACTTTAGGGTCTGTCTCACTCCTCAGCAGGTCTCTAGGATTAGGACTTTTTCCCCATAGAATTATGGATTCTGCCTTGAGAGGAGCCTTAAAAGAATGTAAGCCAATCGTTTGGGTGATACTTTTAAACAAACCAATTACTTAAATGATACTTAAGTCCTTTTATGCTTGCGTGACATGTATTGTTTAAGCCTATTCTTGAAAGCTTCCAGAGTTAGGAACTTGCTTTTTTGAAGCAACTCTTTCTGTCTTGGGTAGCCCTAACGGTTAAATTCTTCCTCAAACTAAACCAAAATCAGTTTCTTGATTTTCATTCCTGGTCCTGTCCGACATGGCTTGTACCAGAGCAGACCATCGATCTCTTGATTGTGTCTGCTAAACTCTCCCACCTTCCATGAGTTTAAAGTTTAAATCCTGAGGTTTCTGGGAAATCATCCTCCACCAATGTGAAAATCTCTGCATAAGCACTTCCCAATGACTTCTGAGAACCATCTTGAGAGAATCAGTAAGTTTCTGCTGAATGAATGAATTACTCAAGGGTTAATAAATTTGAGGAGTGCTGCATTGATTTCCTCTTCTAGGAGAGTCCGAACACACATTAGCATATTAAAAGTCCTGAGAAGTCCTGCAGCAAAAACTTTTCCATGGCTCTATTATCCTGAAAAGTAAGTTTTTGCTGACACTAGATTAAGAACTGCTGCTCTGTAAGCGCTTTTTCAAGGAACATAGGGAATGAATCTTAAGAGAGCTAATTATCCCCCAATTAATTTTCCTTCTTTTTTTTCCCCTACACAGCCTCTTGATTTTGAAGCGGTAGGCGTTCACAATATTGTGTTCCAAGCAGAAAATCCTGAGCCTCTGGTGCTTGGTGTACAGTACAATGCCAGCTCTTCTGCTACATTCAGACTTATTGTGACAGATGTGAATGAAGCACCGCAATTTTCCCAACAACTATACCAAGCAAAAGTCAGAGAGGATGTGGCTAAAGGCACTAAAGTGGGCAGCGTGACTGCCAAGGATCCGGAAGGTCTGGACATAAGGTAGAGGAGAGCAGTGCTGGGCAGGCCTAGCCGTGTGCTGTGACCACAGATGGTGGGGAGGAAGGAGGGCTGGGAAGGGGCAGAGAAGCTGGCCTGACTCCAGGACTCTCCCCTAAGGGAGCAGCCAGCAATCTGAGACCATGTCCCAGTGCACTTGGTGAATCTGCCCTTGGTTGTGGCAGGTGCCAGTACCCTGGGGGGCATCAGTGAGAATCCAGGCTCGGGCAAGCGGGAAGCGGGTCAGATTCCACCCCAACCTTCCTACTGCAGATCCCAGCTGAGAGCTGGTGAGTTCAGGAGGTGGGGTCTAGAGACTGGGCTGTCCAAAGCTAGGCCCTCTGTCTGGACCAGTCATGGGACCAGGGTCTGGGGAAGAGTTCCAGCCCCTAAGGCGGACTGGAGTTCTAAACAGAAGAATAAAGCAAAAACCTGACTGGGTAGATAGACTCAGCCACCTGATAGGGTGAAGGGAATCTTCTCAAAGGGGGTTGTATAGGATCCTCAGCTTTGCAGAGAGCAGGTCTGGGGCAACAAGACTCATTCCAGAACTCAACCCTGGAGAGATGAGTAAGTACATGGGCTGAGAAGGTTAAACAAGATGTGTAACTTTCTATCTTAGCAATTCTCAATCTTTTTTTTATTTTCAGTGCAATAGAACCCACACAGATTTGCCTTAAATATGTACAATGATAATTAATTTTTCTAAGATAACATATGTATGTGTGTGTATCCATATCTGTATCAATATCTATAACCTTTTTAAGATCATCTAGTTAATAAGCACACAGATAGGACTTGAACCCGGATCTTTTGCTTCTATTGTATAACATCAGTCCTACTGTCCATGGCATGACAAATATTTTAGCATGACTTAAAACCCATGCATGTGGTTATGAATGACAATTCCTTAAGTGCCTCTAAACATTTAAGGGGAGTTTTGCCTCCCATTGAGTGATCATTTAGGCAATTGGAATCAGTTCCAAGACCTTTTTCTTATTGTCTGTCTAAGATCCCACCTACTGTTTTGCTCTGCAAGCACTTGTCAACTTTCATAAAGACAAATATGAGGGCTTCCCTGGTTGCGCAGTGGTTGAGAGTCACCTGCTGAATGACAATTCCTTAAGTGCCTCTAAACATTTAAGGGGAGTTTTGCCTCCCATTGAGTGATCATTTAGGCAATTGGAATCAGTTCCAAGACCTTTTTCTTATTGTCTGTCTAAGATCCCACCTACTGTTTTGCTCTGCAAGCACTTGTCAACTTTCATAAAGACAAATATGAGGGCTTCCCTGGTTGCGCAGTGGTTGAGAGTCCACCTGCTGATGCAGGGGACACGGGTTCGTGCCCCGGTCCGGGAAGATCCCACATGCCGCGGAGCGGCTAGGCCCATGAGCCATGGCCGCCGAGCCTGCGCATCCGGAGCTTGTGCTCCGCAACGGGAGAGGCCACGACAGTGAGAGGCCCGCGTACCGCAAACAAAAAAACAACAAACAAAGACAAATATGAGAAAGGAAAGAAGACTTGGGTTGTACTGTGTGGATAGTGTAGATACTGCTCCATACAGCAGTCACTAATTATGGTGGGGCACAAAATGTTCCTAATTTAACAACCATTTATTGTTTAACAAATGCTTCTATCTCCCTTATGAGAATGCTATGAAAGTTATTGGTCAGAGACAAGTGAGTAAAAATTTGAGTTTATGAGTGGAGAAAACAAAGGCATTTAAGATCATTCCTCAGATGGGTCCAGAAAAGGATATAACGTATGTACTATTAAGTTAAAATCAGGAAACTGAGAAAGAAGACTGTGAAAGGGAGTGTCCTGTAAGAGACAAATGAAAAAAGCACTTCATGAATGAGGAATAATCAATAGCTCGAATGCTAGTAATGAGTCAGTTAAGAATTAAGGATGACTCCAAAGCTGCCAAAGCCTGAGCAATTTGATTCTTTTCTTTCTTTCAGGTCCACAAACTTAGAATCCATTAGCACCCAATGGCTCCTAATCCAATGTATCAGTAAATATTAGAGATTCTTTCATTGAAATATATCCAGAGTCCACCTGCTTCTCACCACTTCTGCAATGGTCCAGGTCACCATAATCACCTCCTCCACCCCTCCCTGAGTCCATTCACTGCAATCAGAGTGTGGGTCTTTAAAAAAGTAAATCAGATCATGTGACTCCTCTGAAAACCTTCCAAAGGGTGTCTGTCTCACTCAGAAATCCCGACTACATAGGAATTTTTAATTCACCGACCATACACATAACCTAACACAGTGCTTGGCATATAGAATATTCTAACACTGGGGAAAAATTAATTTGAACTAACACATTATAACTTCTTAATCATTCTCCTACTACTGGACATGTAGGTTGCTTCCAGTATTTTTTTTTTAATTCTAGAAAAGTTTTGAATGTATGTATATAATTCTTTTTCTTAACTTCTATTCAATTGTTTTTTATTTGGAGAACATTTCCAGAGGTGGGATTCTTTGACCTAAAGATATAGATATCCTTATGGCTCTGATGTGTTGTTCCCAAAAGGCTGTAGAAATTGGTTTTCCTGTGGTTCTAGGCTTGTCTCTCTCAAATTCACCTTTCATACACCTACCAATGAGTTCCGTTGAAGACACAAACATGACTAGGTCACCGTCCTGCTTACCACCATTCCCTGGCTGCCCACTGCTTCTCATGATTCAGCTCTTTCCAATCCCTCTGGCTTCATCTTTTGCCATCCACTGTGTCCTATTGATATTTTATCCCACCACTGCTGGAACGTCTTATGCCTCCACACCCTAAGCTACTCCTTGGCCTCTCAGCCTTAGTTCATACAATTCCTTCTGCTTAAAGCATCCTTCTTTTTCTTGCTTTAGTTAACAACTACTCTTTCAGAAAGACTTCTCTGATTCCCTTTAACTTATTTGGGATTCCACATGGCCTCTTTGTATTCACCACATTTTACTGGAATTATCTGTCTCTGTGTCTGTCTCCTCCACTGGCCTAGAACCCTTTTTGTAATCTCCTCTCTTGGTCCACAGCCTGATATTTGCTAAGCCCTCAATAGATGTCTGCTGAATGAGGAATTCACTGTGCCACCCACCAGTAGCCTCTGAGATCCACCCATTCACACATTTCCACCAATGAGTGTTCAAGTTTTCTGAGAGGGGGCGGTTTGCTAATCAATTTTAAAAGATAATTCCAGGTTGTTTTAATTGAAATTCTTTGATTGCCAGAAAAGTTTAACTTTTTTTCTGCTAGAGTTTGTGACTATACCTTTTCTTTTAAAGCAAGTACAAAAACCACTTTGTAAGGATGAACAAATCCTCCCTTTGAAGGCAGATGGTATGCAAATAAAGCAGTAATAATATTAGATCGTGTTTCTTTAAATATGTTGTCAGTAATATGCAAGGGATAGTGCTGATATAATAGCATAGTGATGCATAAACTATCTTTACATTTTCATGCAGAGTAATGTGGGCTTCCTTTTGCTCTTTTCTCTTACTAAAGTTATTCATTAAGAGGTGACAAGAGAGGTTGGCTAAAAATTGACCCCGTCACCGGAGAGATCTTTAGTGTGGCTTCGCTGGACAGGGAAGCTGAAAGTCTGTATCGGGTACAAGTGGTGGCAACAGAAGTAGGTGAGCCGAAATAGATAAATAAATTAAAAAATAATAATAAATAAAAGGTAACACAAATGATTAGGGGCTACATCAGTAGAAATGGGAAGGAGGGTGAGGTGGGTGGGAAACTGGGTCAAATTGTCAGAATATCTTACAGTGGAAAAATGAGAAGGGTACAAAAGTGGAGAGAAGTGCTCACACCTTCTCGGTTTTGTTCAAGATGAGAACCCCCGTGCCCGGTAGCAGGGCTCTTTCAGGCAGGGATGCACCTGGAAGCTGGCTAGGCTTCAGGGCTGCTGCTCACTCTGTGGTGTCCTGAAGGGACCACAGCTTCTAGGAAGGTTCCTGTGTCCCCACTGAGCTACCTCCCTTCCTCCAAAGTGGCTGTGGGTTTCTCCAGGGAGCAGGGTCAAACCACTGACCTGCCTACCTAGACTATTACTTGCTCCTTCAGGCTTAAATTGCAGTGACCGAGGTCTCATCCTTTTGAAACATAAAATGTTTTGTTCAATGTTCTCAACTTTATATATGCCAGAATCACCCGGGAGCTTGTTCAATACAGATAGGAATTCACCTTGCAGATTCTGATTTGGTAGATTTGGGTGGACCTGGAGATCTGTTTTGATGAAACCAGGTGAACTTTTGAAAGGAAAGATTTATTATAAAGATAAGCCAAGGATGTTTGAATCTTATATAGCTATAAAAATAAACTCACAGGAATATTATGCTTACCAGTGATAAGGCTCGTGATTAAAACACTGAGTTTCTTTACGTTTAAATGGAATTTTCCAACTTGGAGTCGGGATTCTGCTGATCTTATGCTGGTCAGAGCCTCTAATTAGACAATAAATATATCTGCCTGGGTTACCAAAAAGTTAGAATTGAACAGATTATGACTAAGTAAATATAGTTTTATACCAAAGAAGGAAACTTTCAAAATGTGAAGCCCCGGGTTGGGAGCTGGAATGCGGAACATTCCAATAGGTGGGAATCATGAAAATGGTCCCTGTCTGTGAAAAGATGAAGGAAAAACAAAAGTACTGCAGTCACGTTAAACCAATGAGGGTAGACATGCAGAAGCGTGTGTCGAACTTGGAATGATGGTGTGTGAGTGGACGGGCCTCGCTGAGGCAGGTTGGGGACTGGCTCTCTTTCTTGCTTCTAGTTGATGTGCTTCTAGCACATACCACTATCACACTCCATAAATATAACTCTCAATTTAAAAGTTCCTGATTTAATCAGCAGGA